TATACAAATAAAATTATCAATAACTGATCGACTTTAGATAAGTATTAACATCTGGATAGTTTAGATCTATAAATACGAATATGTCTAGAATACCAATTGTGTACTAACGTACATCATTTTCATTATATTGATCCCCATTAAAATTTATAAGTTTATTTACAAATAGTATATTCTCTTTGAGTATTTCAAACAATATCGTCGAACAAAAATATATTTTGGAGGTGACTTCGAGAAATATTATGGGAATAAGTATATAATTAAGTATCATAAAATATGAAAACTATGATATCGTGGTACGGACAACAATGCTGTCGTACTACAGACAATTGGTATCGAGTTTGATGAAATAAACTAAAAACAGGGAAAGTAGAAAGGGTAGGGTGGAAAAATAAATAACAAAATATATCAATTACAATAATAAGTTTAATCATGAAATTAAAAATAAGAATGAAATTAAACACACAAAAGGCTTAATTTTACAAATAATTATAAGAAAAAGAAATGATGACGTCTTAAATTTAAGGATAAACAGAAATAAAGATAATAAAGTAAAATGTTTAACAGTTGTCTTTGTTAACAACTGTCGAAGTCTGTCTACGAAATTGGACAACGGAAATCTAAGCCAAGAGTTACATAGTAGTTACATACATCATGCCTTAGCCAAATCTATATATGATATGTCGGCCTGTATTCATTTTTAATTTATGAAGTGCTAAATATCGAGTTCAGCTTAATATAAAGAGATAGATATTATGAAGCGCAATAAAAATATAAGCATACAGTTTTGATATGCGCAAGATATGTTCGAGAAACGAAGGTGCACAAGTTGAATGGGAAACAAGGCTCATTTTGTCAATGATACTTTAAATACAGAACGATTGCACACGAAGCGATCGAATCAATGAAGACATCCGAAAACAACACCCACATCCTATTCAACGCATAACTTTAACCAACAAATTGAAACAATGTTCACTTACGATGAATAAAATTGCATATATTGCGCTCAATAAAACTCTCAAATATAATTTAACTGTAACATTTTCATCAACTTTTCAATAAATGTTAAGATTACCTCAATTACCATTTACCTAAAATAATGTGTATTGACTTCAAATTTGGCATCTCATCCTAAACACCGATCTATTTATTTATTTACTTTTTTATAATAATATTACCGTTATTAGCTAAATATTTAAAATACATCTCTAAACACGTAAATCCCTATAATAATCTATTAGTCGTTACCGATGTCATTAAAAAAAAATTTAGGCCTGAAAACGCTACACACATCACATATTTATAATAATATATTGAAAACTACGAATTTGAGCACTAGCAAATATTTTACTGTCTCGACCTTACACAAGAGCAAAATTATGAAAAAAATAAATCACATGTGTGTAGCGTTCTACTTTACAGTAGATATGTAATCTCCTCTTTTGCGTTTTCAATTTATCTTTTTTTTTACTGAAATACGTTACAGTAAATATATATTTAAAATTACAAATTGCGATACCTCCGATCTTCTAGCAGACCACCACAATTTTCACACCATTATATTACCCTCACATCATCATTTCAATAATCTTGGCGCAGAATCATGCGCACTATTAGAAAAACATTTTCAAAAACGTGCAAAATATCACCACACCCTGGTCACCTAAAATTATCTAAACCAAATAACTACTTTTATGTTCTTACCGTAAGTAGGTACTGAATAATACGATTTGTATGATACTTTTTTTCTATTAAAACCTTACATTATAATGATCATCTATCTTTTTTTTTCAGTTTTAATCATCTTACTAAGCTCTAGTTTTTTTTCTTACAAATTACGGTATGTGATGTATAATATACATTTTAAATATAGTGTAAATATGTGATTTTATGATTTTAAAATTGAATTATTAAAATTTTAAATAAGCAAAAGGTCGTTACGTTCGACCGTTGATATATTCTTGTGATATGGTAGTGTCAAAACTAATTTATTTATTATACTGGATGTACCGAGTCCGCTTAGGTCCGTTTTATGCCACTATTTGCGTTATACTTCATTAAATTTACTCATGTTACCTTAACGTCTATATTTTGATTCGCTCGCGTACTTTCCACCTAAATTGTATTGCCGACAGTGTATATTGTCAAGATAACGTTTTTGATTCCACCGTGTGGCCATTGCGTAGGTGAGCACAGTCGAGGAAGCTTGTTGGCACTACATATTCGCTTTGAGGATTTAAAAAAAATGTCACTATTTGGCGCTTTTTACCTTAGAAAATGTGGCGCGAAAGTTTTCTTTTTTCTTTCAAACCTCGGTTCAGTGCTGCCATCTAGGCGTCACTAATTCTGAAAGAAAACCCTCAAATTCCAAAAACTACTGAAAATTCCAGCTTGCAGTAGCATTTATGCGGAAAATTTTTAGGCAACCAACTTCCTCGTTTAATTACAATGATGTTTGCTTGCATCCACGTCATATCCGGATTAAAAACGTTCCACGCGCTCTTTGCCTAAACGTTTCGTAGTAAACTGGACGTGTAACTGAACACTTAACAACACTGGTCCTAACGGTTTTATAGCAAGATTGCGATCTGGGCTAACAATCTTTGACCAACATATTTTCTTTATTACATTTAAGAATTTCACTTTTTACAAAAGCTTTTCTTACCAGAGTTTTGATAATATTATAATAAGATTTTATTTCTTTTTTTATTCTTCTTCTTCTCCACCTTCTCATAACTTTAAATCACTTAATCCGACAAACTTAATCTCTTTTGCATTGGACTAGACGCATTTCAATTAATTTAAGAAGGCAAAGTTTCTTGAAAACCAATCTTGAGTGAACTTGGCAAAGTCCGGAGAAAGTGAGAAGCCCTAATGTTAGTTGGAGCGTGTCTATATACAAAACGAAATCTTTAAGCGAGAATAAGTAGCTGTTATCTACCTTAAAAAAACAAAATACTGTTCACCACGAAGTTAATGTGACCTAGTTGTATATTATGTCGATTATATTTAATACGTCATAGAGCAAAAATCAGATCTCGCTAATACTTTTCTGGGCGACGGTGTGGCGCTACCATCACATCAATACAATGAAAATTTATTCTAAAAAAATACGTCATCGATACGATAACGCTCACACCGTACAACCTTAATAAGAGAAACGAACAATAAATAATTAAAATCTACCATTTAACCTGCTTAGTTTACGCACGAGCATTTATAAATGTTGTAGCTACCATTAATATAAATTAACATCGAAATAAATGCATCATGTCACTATTACTTATGTCGCCGAACATAACTTGATAGAGCGATATAATAAACTAGCTAGAGGCCCACGGCCTTATCCAGGGACGTCAAATAATTTTAATGTCATATAAAATCACTATATTTTCAAAGGTGACAGCGATAACATAAAAGTTAATTGACGTCTCTGAGTACAAGCTTCAGTATAGAGTTGTGATTACACTAACTATTACCGCCAACGGTCACAAAACTAACAGGACGATCTTCTAAAGAAATAAGTATGGAAGCTGGAAGATTGTATGATAAGACCTAAAATATATTCATTTACCATTAAAAATATCGTCTAAAACTAATATTGCACACACATACACATTCCTAACATAACATTCCATTAATAATAGCAAATTTAATTAAAAAAAATAAGGAAAAATGTGTATGCGTACAAAACTATAGTTATATTACTTAAAAAGGAAATGCAATAATAGTAAATTGTGCATATTAAAAATAGAGCATAAAATATATTTATAAAATATAATTTTAGATTAATAACTGCAAAATTATGTGACAAAAGTAATATTATTATAGGTATCTTTTTTTAATTCAACAATATTATGTGCTCACGTGAATGAATACAATTTTAAAAATAATAATTATATTTATAGTCTGTCAATAACCATAAAACAACCGAGGCAATGTTAGACATCGCAATAAAATACGTTTACAATAATAATTTAAAACTGCCCCAAAAAACTTTTAAATAAAACTGTAGGATTGCAATCGAATTGCTCCAATCACTAATAAAATCTGCCATTTTTATAAGTTTAATGTGTTCGCTTCTCATCGTACTAGTATAATCACTGGGAACTGTTGCGAATAATAATAAACATATATATTTATTTTGAAAATTATTCAAAGAAACGAATATCACACAAAATTTCAATCCTCTCTCAAGACATGTTTAAGTAGGTATAACGTTATCAATCGAGTTTACGACGAGATGACAGCAGTAAAGTAGTTGTAGATATATAAAATTATGACGTAAGTATAGTTACACGTATTCGTATAAGAAAATAGAGTAGCACTTAATACCTAAAGTGATCCGAGTAAGCGTAATACAGATACATTTTTAATTTAATGTTTCTCAGTCGAGTGATTATATATCTCGATTAATGGAGAGGTACATAATGAGAGTTATTTTTGCTAACAGTCGATCGATTGTACTGTATATAACCGCCCCTTGACGTGGTAATGGAATTCGGTACTTTGTTCCAAAATAAGTTACATCTTTCTGAAATTTTGCATGTTTGGAACAATGCCATAGTTTGCCGTCAAAAAAGCCGCTTTGAATGCGGCATTTTGGCGGCAATCTTTGATGGCGAAATAGCGTGCAACATTAATGTCTGAACGGACTTATATTAATTTATATTAGAACAACCATTTTCTTTGTAAGTAATTGATATTTTCAAAGGGTTCAAAATATAACAAAATTTCATTTTATCAAAAACAACTTCACAACTTCACAAAAAACACTTATAATCATGAATTGTAAATACGGAACGAGTACCGAAGTTCACGCAAAACCAATTTAGCACCGTATCACATTAACGCTTTACCGTTACGTCGAATCGCTTAAACAACAATTATACCGAACCAGTCAATGTGAGAAGGTTCTAAGTGGGATTCGGGGGGATTTATCTAGTCTTTAATTGTTTCGATTGTGTGATATTCTCATGGTTATCGTTATGGATATAGTCTTAGATGCTGGACTTTGAGAACGACACCCGAAGATGGTTCGATTCTGACAGTTGGTAGTTGTGCATCTTGATTAGAGCTGCCACCGCGTCGTCGATGGAAGGTAGTTGGACCAACGCCATCTTGCGGTCCTTCCTGAAATCAATACGTTGACGTTAATAAATATAATATTAATGAAGTAGAAAACTAATGGAATTCCGTTTAATTATGATAAATTAGTTAATTAGTAGGTATACATACTAAACTATAATGACAAATTAAAATCGTAGAAGTTAAAGCTAAAGGTCTAGCAGACCAAATTATTTTGAGCTGAGTTTTAAATAAAACTTGAATAAAAGGCAGAGTTCTCTCTTCAGAAATACTTAAAGTTTTTCTTTTTAATGATTTGTCAAAGGTTTTAAATAACTTGGTTGTGTAAAAAGAAAAATGATAACTTACGGGAAGAATTTAAACGCCTTGATTGAGAAGCCCCTTTTGGTGAACGCATCCTTTATGTCATCTTCCGAAACGGTTGCTCTGTAAATTAGCAAAAAACACAGTTTAGCAATGAATAAAAATAAGTAAAAATAAGTATAGGTACTTAATGTAAGTGTAAAATTTAGTAAAAGATACAAAGGACTTGGATTTGACTTAGAAGAAAAAGGCCTAATTCTGTGCTAATTTGTGAAAGTTTATTGTTATTGCTCTAAATACTACGTAATAACCTTACATGCGGTTTTTGTCATCGGCACACAGGAAAGTTTCCAGAGGCAAAACAGATATGTATAATGGATCGTTCTGGTTGCAGAATGCAGCATATTAGATTATATAAATTGGGCAATAACTTACGGAATGTTGGACAGATGTAATGTGGCGCTCGGAGGGTAAATGTTCTGGTAGTTTTTGCTGCCTGGCTTCTTGAATCGGTGCAGCGGGCTCTGAGAATAATCCCTGGAAATATGACGAAAACATAATTTAAATTAAAAAGATAGCACGAAACACAGAACACAGAAATCTCTTTCTGTTTATTCGTGTTGTTCTGTGGTACGGCGCTATAGGTTATAAAGTTAGCTAGGTCGATTATATCCGTGTATTGTTACTCTTTCGTACTAAAACGGATGAATGGATTTAGATGTAATCTGGCATATAATTTGGTTGTCACCTACATTGACCTATAGGATGCTTTCATGCCGAAAAAGTGTTTGATTCCTGTAAGATTTAAGAAACTAATTACAACGCAATCGAACTCGCGTGCAGAAGTTTTAGGATTCTTTTCTATTTTTTTATTTTTATATAGCCAGGTAGGCAAATGACTCTACCTCATCTTATGTTAAGTGGTGATAAAGTCCAAACGTGAAGATAGCTGGTACAGCAGTTATAAACTGCCACACCAACCCTCGATTTATATTTTATCGAAATAACTCAAAAACTATACCTACACTATACCGATTATTAGATTTTTTTTCACTATTAGATTGCTACAACATCATCCCTGGGTATTTTATCGCGTTAAAAAAATATCACCTATGCAAAGTCGGGGCGGATCTCTAGTACACAATGTATGTTATAAATAAAAAAATAGAATAAACATAGCGTGTGTAATAAATAATGTTATCAAAGCTAAGACTTTTCTTCAGAAATTTACGGGACCTGTGTTAATACTGTGAACAACAAACTTACACACCTATATCAATGTGTGTTTACACATTACACAAATTTGTACAAGCTCAGCATAGTTTGGGAGTGTATAATTAGGAGGAGAGCCTCTGCTTATTTATTAAGGTGGGTGAGTATTTACCTAGGAGCTCGATGGCGCAGGTGGTTAGCGCGTTCGGCCTGCGATTGTGGAAGTTACGCAACTTTGGTGCTGGTCGGTGCATGGGTGACCAAAAACTTATTACTTCGAGCTTCTTTGTGCTTCGGAAGGTACGTTAAGCCGTTGGTCTCGGCGGCATTTTCAGTCGTTGTCACCCACCAGTCCGTACTGGGTCCGCGTGGTGGGACACTTCCCAAATATCCCTATTCGATCCATAGGGAAGGCCTGTGCCCTAGAAGTGGGGACATTAATAGGCTGATGATGATAAGTACTTGCCTGGTAAGTCCAGCGTCTGGCTGGCCCTCCTTGGGAAGTTGCACGGTCTGATGTTTGCTCAGCATCACACGCATCGCCTTGCCGAATACGCGTAACTTATCCATATGTGTCATCGCTGAAATGTACGCAGTTTTTATTTAGGGACTTCGGTAAGAGAAATTACGTTCACAATCCAAAGAAATAATGTAATTTTTTCATAATAGAATTATATGTGTGAGTAAAGTTATATTGCTCGATTGACAGATTTTGAAATACGCGATAGAAAACATCTTCTGTTTAGAGGCAATCATCTTTGAAATGAAAAAAACTTGGTTGAATATTCCAAGAATAGCTTTAACATGAGAATTCTAGTTGAATTGAAATGGGATCGTTAGGTATCTTCTTTCTTACAACAGGAACAATACCATTCATTTTATACGAAATATGTAAGGTAAAGTTAACAATAAACAACAATGGTCTAAGAGCTATTATTAGGTGTTGACTATTTCTGAAGATACAGATTTTGCGTTTATTATTTGTAACAGAATTTTCTGAAAGTTATTTAACTGTAAGTTGGCTGGCTTCTTTTACTCTTCATCTACCCACGATCGGGCTTTAATACCTCATATTATAAGTCAAGGCCCTGAAAAACAGATTTTATTTCGAAAAATAGTATATGCGATTGGTTGATAAAATAGGAACTGTTCCCGGTCAAACAACTAAGATCGGACCAATGGTAGCGAAAATGGATATCGTTGAGCTGTAGCCATATTCATGGACTAATTTATATTTTTTTAGAACAGAGACGTTATCAACCCCGCAAGGCACAATACATTATATATGGCTTATATAATGTATTGTGTAGGTATAAAACAATTGATGAATGTCTTCGTATACAATCAACCAACCAAAGAAATTAGAACACGATCAAATTACACCGGCGAAATTCGCGGTAAAAAGTGAGTTTGTTACAAAATAGCACTAATGATGTTAAAAAACGTAACACAATAATGATTAGATGAATATATTTCGTAAATACCTAGATGAGCCTGATGTGGCTCTGCCATCTGGATGAGCGCCGAGTCCTTCTTATTGTAGAGGATCTTCACCCTTTGGACGTCCCCATAAACACCTACATGTAATAGACGTTAAAAAACTGAACCATATAACTTTATTTACTTCACATATTATAATTTATACAAGCCGGATACATTTGCGACGCGGCTTAAAATTAAACTCGTTATATTTCAGTTCAACTTTCAAAAGCCTCATTTCAATTTATCCTTAGTATAAATAAGCTTTGTTTACGTAATGCTAAATACATAGTTATGTAATTAACCCAAATTTTTGCCTAATTAAATATTGCCTATCATCTAAACTTAATCGTCTATGCTTCTAGCGACGGTGTATAAACAAAGTCGTAAATGTTGTAAAATATATAAGTAATAATGTCATGAAACGGGACAGTTGGAAAATTATAAAAGAAGAAAAAAAAACCATTTCAAGCGCTATATTGGTCACGTAAGCCTTTAAATGCCGTAGCGATCACAGCAAAAACCTGCTTTGGGTTATGCTGCTTAAAGCGAATAGCTAGGTACACTCCAACTTTATGCAGATATCTGCTCAACGAAGAGTTTTTAAATTACTCTCGAGAAATACTAGCGCTCATTGGCAGCATTCTCGCTGAATTGGTTCTACGTTGAATTTGCTAGAGAAACAACATATAAATACAAATTAAACAAAGATGCAAAATAATAAATCTGATAGTTTATACAGATGGAAAATTAATGGTAATTAAATAAAACAACACTGGGTAGACAAGAAACAATCTATCTTAGCTACAACTAAAGCGTCTGAAACACAAATTGTCAAAGTTAATAAAGCGTTTAGAGTCGATATAGTGTTATCAAGCGAAGCTTCGACAAAACGGATGCGGTTATCAGTACAGAAGTCGAGAATGTTAGGTGACAATTTGTCTTCCAGGCGACAGGGTTCAGAGGCAATATTAATGTTTTAATATAAAATACGGAATGTATGTGCACACGTACCGAAAAGGGTAAAGAGAGCGTCAGGCGTGACCATCTAAAACAATAGGAGAGAGAAAGAGACAGTATTATAAATAGTCATAAAAGATATTTTGACATCATATCTATAAATGAATTAGCAACTTATTTTTAAGGAGTTTCAGTAGAATATATAAGTATAATAGCCTGTAACGCCGCTCGTATTAGTGATTGCATTAGTTTTTTGCATATACGCTGCATTGTATGTAACCCATTTTTTGAACCGAGCCTAGTGTAAACGTTACCGGCTATTGTGTTAGCATATTGAATAAATTTGACCATCATAGATTTACTACTGCGTCCAAATAATCCAGAAATTTTGGATCTAAATTAAGAACATTACAATATTCTGATGTTCATTGAGTCAGATTTAGTTCAGGTTTTCTCATTTTATGAGAATTTACCTATATTGACGTATCTGAGCTAAAGTACGATACATTTTAAGCGACATCAGAGTTCGTATGACTAATTATGTTATGAAATAGTATATCGACAAGAGAGTTGGGTATGACGAGTAACAAGGTTTGTTATTAAAATCGAATGTTGTGTGTTAAGGTTGTAACTAACCTCTTCGTTAAGATTGGAGACGAGTAACACGGTCGCTAATGGCAGTGGTGGTGCAGCGAGGGCCCTTAGGGCTGGGGAGGCCGGGGTCAAAGTGAGGGCGCCGAAGGCAGGCAATCCCACGCCTCCGACGCCTACACCATACGGAGAAGTCAGCCCTGAACCCAAGCCGAGGAATTGAGGTGCAAGCACCCCGCCACCTGTATAAGAAATAGAATCTGGAATAAAATTCGTCCAAACTTTATAAAAATCAAATAGGTACTCAATGTTATTTTTCACAATTTAAGCATTTTCGTAAGAAAAACATCGCGTTACGCTCCTGCTATATTCATATCATACATATGTGGGCATTAAACCTTACACAATACAATCCTCTACGGTGCAATGCGGATTCATGAGAAGATATTAGTCACAGCGGGCATACTTAACGTGGAAATGCGAATAATAAACAAGAAAAGGAGCAACTTATATGCATCTTCCAAATGCGAGGTAAAATGAAAGTATAAGGTAAAATATTTCGATCTCAAAGATGAACTCAGGCATTCATGCGCATAAGTAATATAAAAGTGATAGAAATGAACCGTTCCACTATAAATATAATAAATAATTAATATATTATTATCCACATGTCAAATTGAAAAAGAATTTTTGTTCTAATTCAAACAAAGAATTTTTAAGATAATGCCTAAAACGATATCTTTGCATGTTGAGTGGCAAATAAACATTATGCATCAAACACAAAATATTAAAAAAAATAACTACTTGCAAAATTAAAATGGAATGGATTACTTAGGAGATATTATAAAGTTTTTTTGCAGCTTTTGATGCAAAACAATAACATGTAAAGATAAGATCTGTACTTAATTATAAAGTATGTATACTAAAGCTACCAAAATACTTGAAGATAGCATTCGAGAAGTAAAACCGGGAGCCACTGTGATGCATATTATACAATATAGAAGTTTGCATTCTGGTAGCATAGGTGTCGCTGCAATAGGAAATTGAGTGGTGACAGGAGCAGTTGTGTGAGAAGCTTCCAGGTGCTCGGAGTAGTAGAGGACTAACTCATCCTGGATGCGAGGGCGAGGGCCACGCGAGCCCGCAGTGGCATCAACTCACTGGTCAACAGTTGGTGCGCGTCCCCATCTCCGGACGGCAAGGTCGGGTTGGTGTAATCCCGCGACTTGTCATTATTGTATTTCACGTTGAGGCAGGTCATCTTTGAGTAATCAATGCGTAGAGTACAGCACCCGTTGTATATATTCTGCCCGTCCAAAGCCTGTGGAATAAAACACAATAGTAAATTTTGGGATTAAACAAAAATTTTTAAAACTCCGCGAATTCCTAAAATAAAGCAACCTTTTTAGCGCGGGTTTTAGCGGTTTAAAAGTATAGGGTTGTTGTTTATTACAAGGACGATAACCTAGCCGAGAAAAATTCGCATTATGGCCGTGTCAAAATCGTTAACTCCTGGGCGCTACAGTTATTTGTTTGCGCGCGTTGCCTGCGGGAGACTGATAACGCCGCATCGCGATAGAAAAGAGAATTAATTAAAATGCAACAGCACTCAACCCATTCCTGTAAGCTTTATGCTTTTAGTTTGTCAATATTTTTAATACGCAAGATTAATGTCCCAATTAAAGTTAAACTAATTCTTACTGATAGACTCAATCATTATAATATTACAGAACAAACGAGAGACGGGGATTAAAGTTGTTGTTCTTAATGGTTTCAAAGGGTTTCGATATTCTAACCATTCTTAGAAGCCATTTCATCAAAAACGTCAACTTCCGCCGCCTCCGGCCAGTCTTCTAACCGAAATTATTAATCTAAGTCATTAACATCACTTTTCTGGAGTTAAAATAAATGGCAGGGACTTTAAGTAAGTATTATTTAACGACAATATTATTTTACGCGAACTAAAAGGATCCATTTAATGAGATGTCTCAATAAAACACTGTCTTTACAATTTTTATTATTTCTAAATCAACTGATTGTTGATGATGATGAAAATAAAAATGTTAATGGATGATTTTATTTATTTACTGACTTATATTATAATCAATACGAAATAATCATGACGTGTTGATCATCTTAATATTCAAGAAATTGTTTTCAGTTGTACAAAATCAGCTATAATTCATCAGTAGAATCAACTCGAAGAAGTCGTTCTTTTTGAAGTTTGCTTGACGGAGAACTATTCGAAGAAGTACCTATTAAAGATGGTAGAATACTGATGGCCAGGAATTGTCTTAATTGAGAGGTCCTAATCTTATATTATTGTCCTGAAAGAAATATTTTTACAATTCAATAAAAATATCAAAGACGCATCCAAGAAAGTTCGATGTCGGAACGTTGGATATTGGCTGTAGATTTAATAAATTTCTGTTCTATATGCAAATGCGACCCCCTGATGTGTAGACGTGAATAGATTGGCTCGTTTAAAGCTCAACTTATATGGAAATGCGAAAGGCACGTAAGAAAACGTAGAAGAAGATCGTTTCGATACGTAATTAGTTTTGTACCCTCGCGGGTCGAATACCACTCCACCAATGAAACGAATGGCAATGCAAGAGAAGACCGTAAGCGTACGTAACGAATAATTCATTTACAATTCTAATGTGTGGTTTTAACGACGCATGATATTATAACGTTGTATTTTTTGAATTCAAATGGCACGATAATTGGGATTTGTTATTCCATTTGGTACGGTTTCAGTTTTCGTAATTGAGTAAATGATATCTGACTTCCACGGTAATGTATTGAAATATTTTATACCTACTTATTCTTTTCTGTCTCTTGTTATAGCCGTAATTAAGTTTGAAGATGTTGTTTCTCAATGAAAGTAGACGATGGTTTAGGAGGAAAAGGAAAGATAGAATTAAAAAAAATAAGAGGGCAAAAGAGGGATTTTGAATTGCAGATTAATTTCTTTACTTTTATAAGCTTTCTTGGAGGCACTCCTGAATTTAAGTCAGTCGTTATTTTAGAATATTCTATTGTGGTTAATGTTTAAAATGGTTCTGCCCTTTCTGTTTTGTTTATTTGAGGTTGATGATTTGTTAGATTTATTCTTGCCTTTTACTGCAAGTACTACGTACGTTAATTAAATACAATTTTCAAAATCACAGGACATAATAATGTAGTTAGTGACAGCAATGGATGCCGACAAAGGATGTATTATAAAGTAAACTGAGACTCGAATGAGGACATTCGTCGATGCAGTCAAATTGTGCAAACAGTTTTGCAGTAAACTATTTATGTATTTGTATTTCATTGTCTCTTTAAAGTGTATCAGATATTACTTGGATTATAGAGGTATTAATTTTAAATTTGCAAATCAAAAACAATATTACACTCAGCTCTCTGTGTCAATATTACTGAAATTTTATATTAATCTTGGAAACGGTTATTTGCGCTCGCGGAGGGAGTCGTAATTGAGGTAAAAAAAATATTAGGAAAAGCGACAAGGTGATAAAAGGACAAACGTCACGCCCGTTTTGATATTGAGATCTTTTACTGTGTAATAGGGGGAGCGAATTTGTTGATTCTTCCGAAAATGCGATTTCAGAAAACTTATTGAACTTTTGTCGGAATCGGACGGATAAGGTTTGCATAGCGTTTTGTTGGGATACGAATGAGAGACGACTCCATCGTTTTGGTTAAACATTTGTCTGTTCAAGTGAAGCGTCTTTGCCGAATCACATCAAACAGCTCGTCAAAGATCCGCGGTGGCGGGAGTGTGCCGTCGGCATCAACGTAAGACGTAACAAGTGTCCCCCGTATCTCTTAATCACGTCGCCCGTAATTGTTTTATCTCTAGCTCGTTAGAACTCGTTTAAGCAAAGCCTTCTTAGTGAAGGATTAAGTGCGGTCCGCCTTAATCCACCCCCCGTTGCTAATTCTGGTGGTTTTTCTGTGGAGACCAGATAAACGTTTTTGTTGGGGTCCCAGTTCTCAGCGTTTATTTTATAAGAGTGCATTTAGTTTCCACTGCTTTGGTAAGTGGTGCATGACTTATTGAGATAGAAAGCGCTCGGAAGTTTTAAGCTGTCGAAGAGTTTTAGCGATCTGTCCTTCGTTTATTACTAAAATGATTCGGTAAGCTTTTATATTAAAGCCACATATAAATTAAATTATCTAAAGCGTAGTATTGTGCGATCAATTTCCTCTTTATATCTATGATTGAAGAACTATTATAGCACGCCGGCTGAGGAAATAAAATATTCGCTCGATTAGTGCCGGATAAAATATCACTTGGGTGCAAAGCGCAGTTCACGTTGCGTGCCAAACAAATACCTACCGTTAAGAGAGCAAGCTTTTAACAAACCATTAATGAAAAATAAATCGGAAAGCTAAAATGTGTGGAGAGTGTTTTAATCAGCCCTCTTTTTGATTCACCCACCACTACCCGAAAAGCATTCGAAAATTTCAATCGTCGCGAAATGGGATCCCTCTATGGTGGATTGCACTTTGATTAATATCTTTCTGTATAAACCTGCGCGGATGAACCTATTCGGTAGTTTCATATCAATGATATTTTGTAAATTGTACTTATTTATTATGTGGTTTGGTATCGCACTGAGCGGCGGTAGGCAGTCATTTGATGAGGTAAAATGAAAAGCAAAGGAAGGAGCCGAAGTTTCAAGTTCGATTAGGGTTTGTACACATTTGCTGACGCGTCACCGGGCAAACATCACCCGCTCCATTAGGCAATGTAATTAATACTTGGGTTGCGGCCGAGGCGTAGCGGCGAACCCATTGGCTATAAAAAAAGCCCTCCCTCGTAGCACACCTTACCTAAAATCACTACAGCTAAATGTGTATTGTGTGTGTAAACTTAATTGGTTGCCTTGGACATCTTTTTTGTGCGCTAAATTAGGCTTGCCATTATCTGCCTTTTGAATGAAATCTACACCAATGTTTGTTCAAAAGCGTTTGTCAACACCGATATTTTGCGGTATTTTTATACATACACATATTTATTGAATAGTGTTTGCCTAATAACAGATATTTTGTGGTATTTCTACATATACACACATTTACGTTGTAACATTTAGCCTTTCAAACATTTAGACTTTCAAAAAGTATAAAGAGAATGAGGTATCACAAATCACAACCATGGCTACGTCTTAAGGCAACTACGTTTTGTGCAACGGTCACGCTCCCGTTTTATGTGCCGGTTCGGGATTCGAGTCCCAGTAAGGACATTTTTTTGTTTTAGCACAATCACAATAATTTTGTCCACGAGTAATGTTTTTTTTAGAAAATACTCATATTTTGTATGTATTCAATCCGATCATTAATTTCCACAGTGTGAGCTGTGCTCATAGTTTGGGGCTAACAAAATAAATAAGAGACGACCAGCATTTATTATTATTATATTGTCCGGAAACAATAGTGATTACTTTCAGCCTATAACAGTTTCCTAATTTCCTTTCGTGTGTTTGAAATACTGTTTAGCAAAGGTGAAAAGTAAAACTTGCTAGTTGTTAGTGAGAACGTGATTGTAAGCAAACCAGCCGCAGAACACCAACAAAACAAGTACTAACAATGTTTGACACGTAACTAGGTGATGCGGACGGAGTGCAGCTCAGCGTTGTTGACATAGTGAGAATCCAAACAGGGGAGGGCGATGGGACGTGCAATTTTAAACGGGTCTTGGACCTCGCCTGCTTAAAATTTCGATGAACTTTTCGAACGTTGCTGCGGAACTTCATTCTACCTGCATCGACGTACAATACACGTTGGAGGAGGTACAGTAGGTATTGTTGTTACAATATTGCACTCAACGAGCGAATATTTTATCATATATCAAGTCGAAACTTCAGAAAACACGAAAAATAAACTTAAGCATAATATTTAAAATCACCACAGTTAAGAGAAATAATGTGAAAACATCCACTACGATAAATTAATATCGTTGCGTAAAAGTCCCTAAAACCAGCCGGGAAAACCTTTATTACGTCATAAAAATACTAATTTAAGCTGCCCTAAGTTTGCAGAGTTCAACCCTACTTTATAAATTAAATTTAGAAAATGATATGACAGTGTCGCAAATTTATTTTGTCTGCGGGCGAAGTTTATGATTTTATGTGCCGAGATATTATATGTTCCCTTTATGATACGTTCCAGATAGCTCACGGCGGAGAGATCACATTTTTGACGGTTACAATGTTTGAATATGTTTCGGTGTTGACACAAAGGCGACGGATAGACGGTGCTACAGTGCAAAGTGCAATTTTAAAATGTAAACAAAGCTCGCACCTTGAGTCCATA